GTGTCCTCAGCAGGGTCCCAGGGCTTGGCTGCAGAGCTTTGATTTCCCATCCTCTGCTTCCATCTGGGACATCCCAATGACACATGGAGGTGTTGAGGGCACTTGGAAAGTCCAGCTGGAGCAGAGGAGGCACGGGGGAGACTCTTTGGGATTTGCTCCTCCCGAGGGGCAGCTGTGACAGGGACAGGACCCAGGGAAGGTCTGGAACTGGGCCAGGACAGGCTGAGGCTGGAGTTCAGGGAAAAGTTCCTCATCCAGAGGTGCTGGCACTGCCCAGGCTCCCCAGGGAACAGGCAGAGCTCCAGGAGCGTTTGGACACATTGGCATGGACAGGGTGGGATTGTTGGGGTGTCTGCGCAGGGCCTGGGCTTGGATCCACAATCCTGTGGGTCCCTCCCAGCTCAGGATATTCCCTGATTCTGTCAAAACTCCTCGGCCACAGCAAAAACTCGAGTGTCTGTTGGAAGTAATGAAGAAAAATCACAGCCGGGCAGCGCCGCGCTTCCCGCGGCTTTCAGAGATGAGCAATTGGCACGAGCGGGGTTTTAAATAACCCAGTGTGTCAGGAAAGCACAAACAAATGATGGAAAGCAAAGAAAAAACCCCAGAGCTCTGCTAAACTTTATGGTTGCCGTGCTTCGTCTTCATTTTGGTGCAGGTGTTTGTTGGGAGGTGAGTGATGGACGCTCCGGAGCCTGGGAGCGGCGGCGAGCCGGAGATGGAGCACCCTGCCCTGCAACGCACGGCTCGGCTCCTTTTTTAAATGAAAAACCCATTTTTCCCCTCCTGCTGAAGATGGATGTGGCCTGAAGATCCAAACCAACTTTGCAGAGCTGGGAGAAAACCCTTCCCAGCACAGGCATCAAACGTTGCCGTGCGGCGACAACGAAACCGGCGATGCCGAGCTGGAAACGCGGCGTAATCCCAGTTTAATCCCAGTTTAAACACGGCTTGTAAAGCGCGTCTGAGAGTCGGTGAGAGCTCCTAAGCCACGCCTTGGTGTCAGGAGAGCGTGTTCAGAGTCTTTTGTGAGTGTTTGAGAAGATAATCTCCTGCTGGAGCCGTTTTCAGGGCAGCACCATGATCCAAAACCTCCCTCGTGGCATTGCACACGCAGGCATCGGGATCGTTCCCTGAGGGTTTGGACAAAATCCCGCTCTTGTCCCAAAGGATTGCCCCGTTTTTATGGGTTTAGTCCCTGCTGCAGACCCACCTGCTGTAGAGAGAGTGAGGTTGAGGTTGGGAGTGGGTGGGAATGTCCAAGGTCAGGTTGGATGGGGCTTGGAGCATCCTGGGACAGTGGGAGGTGTCCCTGGCCATGGAATGAGATGGGCTTTAGCGTCCCTTCCCACCCAAACATTCCATGATTCCCTGATAATTAACGGGATGTTGTCTTGCCCACGTTAGGAGATGACAAGCACACTTTGAGCTCTGAGCACCCCAAAGATCTCCTGGACTGGAGCTTCTCCAGCTGCACCCAACAAGGCCTAACCCTTCCCGCAGCCATGGGCACTTCCAGAGGGGATTCCCTTGGGAGATGGTGGTTGTGACCTTGAGCGCTGTGGGAAGATCCCATCACAGATGGGACACGCTGATGAGGCTGCCCGGGCTGGAGAAGTTTTCTGCTGAATTTAACTGAGGAGTTTGGGCTGGTCTAGAGAAGTTCTGCGCTGGTGGCTTTAACTGGGGGGACTGGGCTGCTCCGGAGGAATTCTCTGCTGGCTTTAACTGAGGAGGTTTGGCTGATCTGGGGAAGTTCTCTGGTGGATTTAATTGAGGAGGTTGGGCTGCTCTGGAGAAGTTCTCTGATGGCTTTACTGAGGAGCTTTGACTGAGCTGGAGAAGTTCTCTGGTGGCTTTAGTGAGGAGGTTGGGCTGTTCTGGAGAAGTTCTCTGGAGGCTCTAACTGAGGAGGTTTAGCTGCTCTGGAAAAGTTCTCTGGTGGCTTCACTGAGGAGATTGGGCTGCTCTGGAGGTGTTCTTTGGTGGCTTTATTGAGGGGGTTTGACTGAGCTGGAGAAATTCTCTGGTGGATTGAAATGAGGAGGTTGGGTTGCTCTGGAGAAGGTCTCTGGTGGCTTTAACTGAGGAAGTTTGGCTGCTCTGGAGAAGTTCTGTGGTGGGTGGCTTTACTGAGGAGGTTTGGCTGAGCTGGAGAAGTTCTCTGGTGGCTTTAACTGAGCTGGAGAAGTTCTCTGGTGGCTTTACTGAGGGGTTTTTGCTGTGCTGGTGGCTTTACTGGGGGGGGCTGGGCTGCTCTGCAGAAGCTCCATGCTGGTGGCTCTCCATGACGGTGTCTCCACGCTGGTGGCTCTCTGTACCGATGTCTCCATGCTGGTGGCTCTCTGTGCCAATGTCTCCACGCTGGTGGCTCTCTGTGCTGGTGTCTCCATGCTGGTGGCTCTCTGTGCCAATGTCTCCATGCTGGTGGCTCTCCATGACGGTGTCTCCACGCTGGTGGCTCTCTGTGCCGATGTCTCCATGCTGGTGGCTCTCTGTGCCAATGTCTCCATGCTGGTGGCTCTCCATGACGGTGTCTCCATGCTGGTGGCTCTCTGTACCGATGTCTCCATGCTGGTGGCTCTCCGTGACAGTGTCTCCGTGCTGGTGGCTCTCTTTGCTGATGTCTCCGTGCTGGTGGCTCTCTGTGCCGGTGTCACTGACCGTGTCCGTTTGTCCCACAGGGGAAGGTGGCCCAGACCGCCTGCATGTCGGCCTGCAAGCACCTCTCGACGTCGCTGCTGCAGCTGCTGCTGGAGGCCGAGGTGAGGCAGCTGACGCTGGGGGCCCTGCACCAGTTCAACCTGGACGTGGAGGAGTGCGAGCGTAAGAGCCCAAACCTCGTCCTTGTCCTTGTCCTTGTCCTCGTCCTTGTCCTTGTCCTTGTCCTTGTCCTTGTCCTTGTCCTTGTCCTCATCCTTGTCCTTGTCTTCATCTTTGTCTTCATCCTTGTCCTCATCCTTGTCCTTGTCCTCGTCCTTGTCCTTGTCCTCATCCTTGTCCTCATCCTCGTCCTCATCCTCGTCCTTGTCCTTGTCCTCATCCTTGTCCTCATCCTCGTCCTCATCCTCGTCCTCGTCCTTGTCCTCGTCCTTGTCCTCATCCTTGTCCTTGTCCTTGTCCTCATCCTTGTCCTTGTCCTTGTCCTTGTCCTCATCCTTGTCCTCATCCTTGTCCTTGTCCTTGTCCTCATCCTTGTCCTCATCCTCATCCTCGTCGTCGTCCTTGTCCTCATCCTCATCCTTGTCCTTGTCCTCGTCCTCGTCTTTCTCCTCATCCTTGTCCTCATTCTTGTCTTCATCCTTGTCCTTGTCCTTGTCCTCGTCCTTCTCATCCTTGTCCTTGTCCTTATCTTCATCCTTGTCCTTGTCCTTGTCCTCGTCCTTGTCCTTCTCCTTGTCCTCGTCCTCATCCTCGTCCTCATCCTTGTCACAGATCCAGGGGAATTCCTGCTCTGCCTCTGGGCTTTGTGAAGATTTAACTCGAGGTGGCCCACACATAAAATGGGATTTTGGCCCACGAGTTTTAAGGGTGGTGGATCAGCTCTGTTTGTAAAATGAGTATTTTATTGACCAGACAGGAGAAAAAGTTTTAATCAAAGTTACTACAGGGTATAAACCAAAAAGAATTATTAGTGCCCGGCATGAAATTATGTGTGACATTAAAGTATTTATATATATATTTATACTGGAAAAATAAATGGGATAGGTTAGGAATCAAAAGGAATGGGATAGATGAAGAATCAAAAGAATGGAATAGATCAGGAATTAAATGGAATAGGGTAGGTCAGAAATTAAATGGAATAGGATATATTAGGAAATAAATGGAATAGGGTAGATCAGGAATTAAATGGAATAAGGGAGATCAGGAATTAAATGGAATAGGATATATTGGGAATTAAATGGAATAGAGTAGATCAGGAATTAAATGGAATAGGGCAGATCAGGAATTAAATGGAATAGGGGAGATCAGGAATTAAATGGAATAGAGTAGATTAGATTAGGAATTAAATGGAATAGGGGAGATGAGGAATTAAATGGAATAGAGTAGATCAGGAATTAAATGGAATAGGATAGATTAGGAATGAAATGGAATAGGGGAGATTAGGAATTAAATGGAATAGAGTAGATTAGGAATTAAATGGAATAGGGGAGATCAGGAATTAAATGGAATGGGATAGATTAGGAATCAAATGGAATAGGATAGATTAGGAATNTGGGATAGATTAGGAATCAAATGGAACCTCCCACCAAAATGACCACGGTGTACTCGGAGTCCTTTCCCTCAGCCTCCAGAGGAGCAACCCCAAAGCAGCATCCCCAGTTTGGGGTAAAACCCTGCAGTGCTGCTGTGCCCCGTGGTGTTTGGGGTCCCAGTCAGGGGTGTGGCAGTGCCGAGGTCTGGGTGCTCACAGGGCTCACCCAGAGCATCCTCAGCACGCAGGATTCCAAGAATTCCAAGTTTTGCTCCTCCTTTTCCTCTTCAGCGCTGCCTTGATGCTCTCCAGACCATCCCTGCTTTTTGGGATGGAGTATTTTAAAACCAGGAGGGATTGGAGTACATGAATCACAAATCAGTTTATTTATGACTCTAAAAAGCTGGGGCTGTCTCATCCCTGGAAGTGTCCAAGGCAGGGTTGGATGGGGCTTGGAGCATCTGAAGGAGTTGATGTTCTTCACCAGTTCCGATCCTCTCTGAGGGAACTTTGTCCTTGAAGTGAGCTCTGTGCCAGGTCAGAGCGGTGGAGAGGAGGTGACAAAGGGACAGCAGCTCCTCAGGGGAGGAACGCTGTGGTGCCACCCCCAGGGCTCTGCTCCCAAACCTGCTCCTTTTGGGTCTTCGGGCGCCCACCTGAATTAGGGCTGGAATTCTCTGGTTGCCCTCAAGTTGCTGCTTGTCCTGGTCAGTGAAAGGGTTAAAAACCTGAGCCCAGGGCAGACAAAATGCTCTTTTTAGTCCTGGTTTTGGAACTAAAGTAAGGCAGAGCTTTACACCCCTACACAGGATCTTCTTCCCTCTGAGGGAAGTGGTGTGTTGGGATTCATCCTGGGATGAATTTGTTGGATTCATCCTGGGATGGATCTGTTGGGATTCATCCTGGGATGGATTTGTTGGATTCACCCTGGGATGGATCTGTTGGATTCATCCTGGGATGGATTTGTTGGATTCATCCTGGGATGAATTTCTTGGATTCATCCTGGGATGGATTTGTTGGATTCATCCTGGGATGAATTTGTTGGATTCACCCTGGGATGGATCTGTTGGATTCATCCTGGGATGAATTTGTTGGATTCATCCTGGGATGGATCTGTTTGGATTCATCCCGGCATGGATTTGTTGGATTCATCCCAGGATGGATTCATGACCACCATGGTTGAGGTCCCCAAGCTTGATGGGACTCCTAAGGAACCCAGGTGATCTTTGATTTTAGGGGATTTTAGGGATTTTTTTCCCCCAATATCCACATTTTGGCTTTCCTGGTTGAGGTGGAGATTGGGATGTCTCATTTATCACAGAATCCTGGAATTCTTTGGGTGGGGAGGGACCTTAAAACCCATCCAGGGACACTTCCCAGTATCCCAGGGTGCTCCAAGCCCCATCCAGGCTGGCCTTGGACACTTCCAAGGATCCAGGGGAGTGACTCAGTGACATCAGCTGTTGGTTTCATCGTCCCCTGGCACTTCCCATTACCAAGACAAGTTCTTCCACCCTTTATCCAACATTTTCCTGACCACATTTTGCTGCCCCCATCAACGCTGAGATTACATTTACTGCTGGGAACAATACCCCAGTAGGAATTCTGCTGTTCCCAGCACGGGTTTTCCATTTTCTTTTAACATCCACTTGCCATTTTCCAGCCCTCAGCTGATCAGCCTGGGAGAAGGATCCCAATTTAATGATTCCCACTCAGGGAATCGTAACTCTGCACTCTGATTTTCCTCCTGGCGCTGCCTCGATCCCCGAATTCCTGACTCCCATTTGTGCCCCCTCACGCCTCGGGAGCAGCTCTGCTCCCAAGGGTGTCTGCCAAGGGACGGGTGCTGGAGCTGGGAATAATGGGAAGCATTTATCATCCCTAAGAATTCCCTGGGGTTTAGTTTTTTGGCTGCAAACGCTCCAAACCTGGCAGTTTTCTGCCCCATCCGTAACGTGGATCACAGAGCAGCAGCTCTTCCCTAAAAGCTGCTGCTGCCAAGGGAGACGGATGGGATTTCACAGCAGGTTGGAAAGCACAATTCCTTAAATTCCAGGTGTCTGGGGAGCCCGAGCCGGGAGCGCTCAGACATCCCGGAGCAGGTGACACCGAGCCGGCAGCAGGGTCAGGGACCTGTCCCCAGCCCCGTCCCAAGGTGCCACGGGAGCAGGGAATGGAGACGGATGCTGGAGCTGGAGCCTCTCCATCCATCACCGTCAGCCCCGAGCAGACAAAATCCTTCTCCTTTCCAGCAGCAAAACTCTGCCCCTCATCCCCACGGGTCCGTCTGGTGGCTCTGCTGCGCCTGGAAATCGCTTTAATTTGGTTATTTTGGAGCAGAAATCCATCAAGGTTTGAATTTTGGGATGAGCCAGTTCCAAGGGGGAAGGGGTGCATTCAGAAAATAAGCTTCAGTCCGCAAGGCTGGGGTTTACTCTTGGGTTTTTTGGTGATTTTTTAATATTTTTTTTTGTACCTGAAAGCACAGGTGTGAATCTCGACATCCTCACAGTACCAGTTCATGCCTCTGCCTCTGTCCTCTTCCTCCCTCCAAATTCCCAAACCTTGCCCAATCCAGCAGTTTTATCTTGCACTTAGACATTAAAATCTGATTTTCTGTCTGTTTGGACTGCTTCCAGTGAGTGCCATGATGAGGCAATGGGACTGCAGAGTTCTGATGCTGGAATCTATTAAGGTTTTGTTTGTGAATACTGAAAAAATAATCCAGTTAAAAGAGAGGTGAGATGAATTAAGGAAATTTTTTTATTGTATATTAAGCATAGTTTGAAGGTGGTGAAGATAATTTTCTCTGTGTTAGAAGCAGGTCCAATACACATTAGAAGGAAAGCTGTTTATAAACACAATTGACATCAGGGGAGGTGAAAAATGTGGGGGTTTAGACTGAAAACAAAACACTGCTAAATTAATTATCCTGATTTTTGGGATCACCGATTTTCTGTCCCATAAAAGGCATAAAAAGGGGAGTGGCTGCTGGACCAGGGAGGTGCAAGTCCAGGTGGCCAAGGGGGATTCTCAGGTGAGAGCCCACCTGCAGAGCTGCTCCTGCTCCTGGATCCCAAATCCAGGAGGACGTGGAGCTGCTGGAGAGAGCCCAGAGGAGGCCCCGGAGCTGCTCCAGGGCTGGAGCCCCTCTGCTCTGGAGCCAGGCTGGGAGAGCTGGGAATGTTCCCCTGGAGAAGGGAAAATTCCAGGGAATGCTCAGAGTGCCTGGAGGGGCTCCAGGAGAGCTGGAGAGGGACTGGGGACAAGGGACAGAGGGACAGGAGCCAGGGAATGGCTCCCACTGGGAAAGGGGAGCTTGGGCTGGGATCTTGGCAAGGAATTCCTGGCTGGGATTTGTCTGGAATTCCCAGATTTGCTGGGGCTGCCCCTGGATCCCTGGCAGTGCCCAAGGCCAGGTTGGATCCACCTGGGGCAGTGGGAGGTGTCCCTGTCCATGGATGGGGTTGGGTGAAGATGCTCTTTAAGGTCCCTTCCCACCCAAACCAGTCTGGGATTTTGGGATTTTGAGATTCTGTGATACTTGGCAGAAAGATGAGGTTGTGATGGGACCCCTCACCTGCTCTTTAAATCTCCCCCTTCCTTAAATCTTTGGGGTTTTTTTGGTGTG